AACATTTGGCTAATGCATTGCAATACAACACAGTAACTGTCTTTCTCCCTTTATCTATATCATGTATTTACTTACACTTTTTCATCTAGACACTCACGTCACTATATATCCGGTGGAATAGAATTGGAGACGTTGGAGCACAACATTTGGCAGATGCATTACAACACAACAAAGTAAATATCTTTCTCCCTTTATCTATATCATGTATTTACTTACACTTTTTCATTTAGACACTCACGTCACTAGATCTTTCGAGCAATAGAATCGGAGCTGTTGGAACACAACATTTGGCAGATGCATTACAACACAACAAAGTAAATATCTTTCTCTCTTTATCTATCTCATGTTTTCACTTACACTTTTACATCTAGACACTCACCACGATAAATCTCGGAGACCATGTAATCGGTGATGATGGAGCACAATATTTGGCAGATGCATTGCTACACAATACAGTAATTGTCTTTCTCTCTTTATCTATGTCATCTGTTTGTTTACACTTTCTCATCTAGACACTGACCTCACTAGATCTTTCGGACAATGTAATCAGAGCTGTAGGAGCACAGCATTTGGCAGATGCATTACAACACAACACAGTAACTGTCTTTCTTTCTTTGTCTATATCATCTGTTTATTTACACTTTCTCATCTAGACAGTCATCGCACTAAATCTCAACGGCAATGAAGTCGGAGACGAAGCTAAACATATAATCTTTGAATTTCTGAAACGCAATAGAACCGGAGGACAGTCGTGATCGTGAATTGAAATATTAGATATATTTCGATCACGAGCGCATGGGAAATGATGATGATGTTGAGTATATTTTTATTTTGTTGTAATATTCGAAAAAACAGTAAATAAACTGCTGATTTCTAGACTTAGTGTGTATTCTGATGATAAATTTCAGTTATGTTTTTCGGTAAGTGGTGAGACGATGATGTCTTCAAAAAGATAAATAATTTTTTCAGGAATATTTTGCCACTCTGTAGTACATGCAAAACTAGTTTGCGGTGATGTATAGTAATAGTAAAAGTCGAGAGTTGTTTTCAGTTGAAATGAGCCCGAGGCGCCTGAAATCGTTTGTGGGTATGAGTGTGGGCATCTCCTCTATTTATGTACACACACTCATACCCTCAATATAATTCAACAAGAACAATAAGAAAAATTAAGCATGACTTTTTTTCTACATGTGTTTTATAGTTGAAGCTGAAGTTGATGGCAGATAATGAATCATCAGCTTTCTTTCTACGTCGGTACTTTAAAGTCTTGGTTTACATGAACTAGTGTCAACTGTATTTTGAAAGTATATAAACTTCACTCGATTCTAAGATAATTCTGAATGTTTAGAAATCTGTGAAAATCTTAAAATCGTCCTTTCGATATCGAGCATCGCATCACATTTCGCAGACGAGTTTTGACTCGTTTGCCATCTAGTTACTTTTCTGATATAATATGACAAAATGAATAATAATATCTTAGTTATAATTTACAGAATAGATTTAACATGAAATATAAATATTCAAATGAGTTTGTTTTCATCAAACGACATTTGTTAAATTAGTTTTAAATCAGTAGTTGATCTGCCTGTAAAAGGACATCTTAATTGAGTTGGATTTTTGTTAATAACATTTATAGATTTTGATTTCACCACATCTATTAACCAATATGTAGGATGTACACCTTTACTCTAAAGTAATTCAAAATAGTACTAAATATAATATCTATAATAATCTACTTTAATTTCAATTTGACCTCGATAATCAATTGTAAAACGATTATCTACTACTAAATAATTGTACGATGATTGACTCAAATGTATTCGGCCGTCCTAAGAAAAAAATAAAGAATATCAACTAAGTTACACATAAAATCCTTCTGTACTTACTTCACCACAAGTTGTTATTCGACTTGCCTATAACGATAAGATTAACAATATTAAAAAGTTGTAATATATTCAAATATTAATACTTACCATATTAATTGTATCACCAAACAGACAGTATTGAATATTTGTCCTGCCTACAATACCACCTACTGCTGTGCCGGAATGAAAACCTAGAATATAATTAATAAGAACTTTTACAGATATATAATTATGATATTATCCTACCAAATTTGACTTTAAAAGGTTGATTTGTTACTGGATTAATAATACTTTTACTGGCATTTAGAAGATCAAGTGCTAAATATGCAATAATCTCAGTTTGATGAAAACCATGTGGATTTTTCATAGCTGATGTACTTCCATCATCTTGTTCATCAGTATAATCAGTCAATGAAGATAACTAATATAAATAGACAAACGATTTAAATGATATTAAATAAAAAAGATTTTTTACCGCTGATGATTCTCGTTTAATAGAAGTCAAATGTGATCTATCAGTAAGACCAGCAACAACCATATAACTTGCATCAGCTTTTGTTTCTACTTTGAAAACATCATAATTATCTTCTACTTCATCAAATGTATTAATTATTTGATTAAGATATTGAATAGTAGACGCAGGATCAAGTTGAACACTTAGAACTTTAAAATCAGTTAAATATGCAAATAAAACAGTTACAAGAGGATGAGACTAAATAATCCGTAACAGAAATCTATTTTTTTTTCCAAATAAAATCAATAGTAAAAGTATACTTCACAAATACTATTAGGTCGTACACCTGATTGAAGCATTATAGCAATATGTTTTGGTAAAATTGAATATAATAATCGTTCACTTCTTTTACGCCATTCAATCAATTTCTTTTTTGATTCTTGTAACTTGATTGACCATAGATGTTGCTAAAGTTAAAAAGAACATCAAAATTTTTAGAATTAATTCAAAAAGCTTATTTATGTAAGAAAAACGTAGAAACAGTTCTATTTATAGTTTATTAAATATACTCACTTTTGCAATAGCTTCTTCTATTTCTCGTTCTTGATGTATACCTGTAATTAATATATCACTTGTACTATCAAATAAGTTTAACTCTGACAAATGTAAACCAGCTGATATCATATCATTTGTACTTCCTAAACTAAAATATCTATTTCATTGTACTCTTTTGCATTCATATATATGTTCAATAAAAACAAATTATTATGTAACTTACACAGGATGACACAGAAACCATAACATATTTTTATGTTCTAAATATTTCATTTGACCTTTCAATTGAATTTTGCCTGATGATCCAGATCGTAATGGTAATCGATTTTCCATTAAAAATACAATATGTCGACCATAAGAAAGAACCTTTGAAGAATGATAATAGTATTTGAAAAAGAAATGAATAAAGAGAATATACTTTATCCCATTCGACATGAATATCAGGTCGAATAAGTCGAAAAACTTCATCAAGTGGTCTTCCAATCAAAGGAGTATCATCAGGAAAGATATGTAGAAGATTTTCTCCCACACAGTGAATACGTAATGCTGAATTCATAAGAATTGAAAAAGGAAATACCTAAAATAGATATATAATCTTTGATTATTGAAATTTAAATAATATGAATGTCTTGTATATACTCGAAAAAAAGTTTCCCCTTTAATATTGGGCAATGATGGAAAATGGAGTATTCGTTTTGGTTGAAATCCTATATTATTAAATTGAACCCAAAAAGCAATATGAGCAACTAATAATCAAAATATAAATATTGAATTAAATGAAATTTTTCCATTATTTACATACATTCTGGAGTAGACCAATCATGTAATATATTCATTGTAATATTTTCTTGAAATAGTGCTCTAGCTGCAGCAACTAAACCTCCTTTTGCATAACGAGCAAATCCATGACGAACACTTCTAAATAACGAAAACTTATCAAAGAAAAATAATTTCAACTTTCAACTTATTTTTAATTCAAATAACTGAAGTATTAAATCTTTTAAATTGTTAATAACTACTTACTTGTAAACGAGTGTTGCACCTGTTGCATTTTCTTCTGTAACATGAAATAATGGTTGAATCATATTTGGAAAAGAAAATCGATTTGAATCATGTAATTGATCAATAGCAAAAAGAAAATCACGTAGAGTTCGTCCAGCTACTCGAAGTATTTTATCAAAACCAAAATTAACAAAATAACGAACAAAATCTTCACCAAAAAATTCTAAATATGATTCAGATGTTCCTTCATGTAAAATGGTTGCCATGCCTGTCATAAAAAAACATTAAATACATGCAAAATGAAAACTTGTATATATATATTTACATTCACAAATATCGAATAATATCTTCTCATCATATCGTGCAAATAATTGAAATGTTTCTGATGGTAAATTAAGTTCATGTACAATACGTTTCCATAAACTATCACCGTGAAAAACAATAACACCATCTCGTGCACTTTCCAATATAATACCATAAAACATTTATCAAAAATTGTATATGACGTTGAATAATATCTTAAAAAATGAAAGGTTATACTAAGAACATTATGCGTATAAGTAAACGCATTTTTATTTCTGTTCAATAAGAAGTCATGGCGATATTCGGAAATCCGATATGTAAATCATGCAATCTTCTATCCTGAATGTAGTAGTAACTATTCCATTGAAATCTTAGTCGAATCTGTATGTGTCATGTCGAGTGCACTAAGTTCTGTTTCCAGGAAAAATCGTAAAAAAAATATTATTTATTTATACTAAAGAATCACGCAATAAGTACAAACTGATTCTTCATAAAAAAATTCTCTTAACCTTTGTACCAAATAAATTAGAAAATAAACGACCTATATAAAAAAAAGATTTTTAATGTTTACATGTTTTCTTTCGAATAATTACTATCAAAGGAAGTCAAATTGTTCGACAACAATATATAAATGAGTGACTATCGATTGTGAAAAAAAGAATATTTTGAATAGAAAACTTACCGTTATATTTTCTATCAAGTAGAATTTAGGTAAAAAAATCTTCAGTACGGGAAATATCGCTGTAAATTTCTCTCAAAATAAATTCATGTCTCAGTATTTATATTTAGTAATAGATTAAAGTGAATAGAACGTACTAAAAGTAATATGAATGAATACTTTTAGATCAAAAACAACTATCCAAGAGAAGAGATTGTGCGATGAATCAGTAAATTATGTTAAAGAGACGAAAAAAGCTAAAAGGAAGGAAAATCCTCGAGCAAAACGGATGTAAGCATCCACTCTATCTTAATTGAAATCATTGACTTGAACGAATGCAAAGACTGTTATTGATCTTTTTGAAATAAATACATAAATAAGTTATATATTTGTTTGATTGACGTCAAAGATTTTTATTTTGTTTCAGAAAAATATAAAAAAAAACAACAGAACATACATCAGTAATAAAACGTTCAAAATTCATAGAACATCTTTCACAGTTGGATATAAATCAAATCGTGTTAGAGTAAGACAATAATAAAAAACATAAACTATCAAAACTTTAACTAAAGATAACTAATGTTAAATAAGATTAGAAAGAGAGAAGTAAACTTATCGTATGAAATATTAAACAGTATTATGTATAAAATTTAAGCTATAAGCTGAATAAGTATCTTATATAGGTACCGAAGAATTCAGACGAAAAGGATCAGATTTTTTCATGTATTGTTATGAAACGAAAGGGATCTGTATTAATACTTGGAATACACAGTTGACTATTTTCTGTACATACATTAACGAAAAGTATCGATGTAGTAATAATTCATTTTCTACAGATCTTTATAACAAAAAAATATTGATAATTGCTGTAAGTAAACCTTGACATATTTACTAATATTTTTCCAGGATAGAACGATGTTAAATTCATTCTCAGAGAGGACATTTGAGAGATATTCTTTGAAGAGAAAGAATTAATAAAATATAACACAATTCAAAGTATTGATTGATTTTTACACTTTGTTTCGAATACAAATATTTTATTAAGCTAAATAAATAGTAACAAATGTTTTTGATATAAATAATAATCATGATTTAAAATGTATTTTTAGTTCACATTTGTTAGTTAATAATTAACGTATACTGTAATTAGTGAGCAGAAAAAAATGGAATTTGTTCTATATTTATATGTTGCATAAAAAGATACATATAATCATACCGATGATTATAAGAAAGTAAAAATATTCACCACATAATTTCCTAAGAACATGGCTTGCATATGTCAATAAATTATGGTTCAAAAAAAGTTTTTTAATAACTTCATCAAGTATTAAGGTTTACATATTTAGTGTTTTTTAGAGAACTAATGAAAATTATTATCCGATTAAGAATTAAGACAAGTTTTAATTAGAGTTTCATGAGAAAATAATATCAAATCCTATACTAATATGATAGACATATGTTGAAAGAAAAACATTTTACGCTTATATGATATTCCAAGATTGTACAGCAACGGCGGCTGCTCAGCTGGACGGCTTACATCTCTAATTGTATTCCTTTATTTTTTTAAATTTATATTATTCTTTATAATCTTGATAATGATAAATAATATTCATCCTAAGGTTTCTTAAGGTTCTACTAAAATTCATTTATTAAATAATGATCTCATTACATGTTATATCTATCAAAAGTCGACTAATTAAATATATTTGTTTTATTTTAATACTAAATTTTGAATACTAAATGGACATTTGAATATTGTTTGATTTTTATTAATTTTTGTAGTACATGATTTTTCATTTAAACCTGTCAACCAATATGTATCAGTTGGACCGCTACCCTAAAATACTCAAAAGATTATATTCAATTAAATTCTACTTATAAGCATACTTTAATATCTACTTGTCCTCGATATTCAATTTTAAAACAGTTGTTTGCTACCAGATGACTGTATGCCATTTGACTGAAATGTATTCGACCAATCTAGAAATTATTCAATTTTTATTTTTAATGATATTTTATTATAATTACTTCACTAGTAGCTGTAATTTGACTTGCCTAACAAAATAATAAATATATACGAATGTGTATATCTACATAGAAAACTTACAATACTAACAGTATCACCGAATAAACAGTATTGATAATTACGTGTACCAACAATACCACCTATAGCCGTACCTGAATGAAATCCTAAACAAAAAAACATTAGGATTTTGAATCTAATTTTTGATAATTCATTTTATTTCTTACCAAGTTTAAGATGAAATGGTTTCTTGGTAACAGGATTATGAATATGTTCACTAGCATGTAAAAATTCAAGTGATAATTCGGCAATAATTTCAGTTGGATTAAGTCCCAATGAATTTCTATTAAATTTTTCTTCTTCATTGATTGATATCTTTGATAACTAGAAATATATATATTATAATTATCAATTTGATTTTATGTCAGTCCTACTATTTGTGATCTGTTCTGTTCTTGAACTAAGTGTGATTGATCATGTATACCAGAAACCAACATATAACTTCCATCCGCTTTTATTTCGACTTTGAATACATCAAATTTATCGGCTATTGTATCAAATAAAACAATAACTTCATTAAGACATGTAATAGTATGAGCAGCATCAAGATGATCACTTAATGTTTTCATATCCATCACATCTATGAACATTATCGTTACAAAAGGTTGACACTAAAAATTTCAATATATATTGATTTAATACACAAAAATTCTATATTTTATACCTCGCAGATACTATTTCCTTGTAAACCAGACTGAAGTAATAGCGTGATATGTTTCGGCATAGTTGAATGTAATAATGCTTGATTTTTTTCATGGCATACATTTAATTTATGTCGTAAACCCGGCTCTTTTTTCATCCATACATGTTGCTTTTAAACATGAGAGAAAAATTGAAAAAGATAAATATTAATAAGATTAAAACTAACTTTATATTTAGTTATTTCCAGTTCATGTTCCTGTTGTATACCTGTAATTAATATATCACTTGTATTATCGAATAAATTTAAATCATTTAAGTGTAAACCAGCTGATATCATATCATTTGCACTTCCTAAACTAAAATAGTCATTACATTTTACTCTCTTACAGTGATATACACATCGTTAATAAACTCAAACCATTATGTAACTTACACAGGATGACATAGAAACCATAGCATATTTTCATATTCTAAATATTTCATTTGACCTTGCAATTGAATTTTGCCTGATGATCCAGATCGTAATGGTAATCGACTTTCCATTAAAAATACCATATGTCGACTATAAGAAAGGACCTTTGAAGAATAATAATAATATTTTAAAAGGAAATGGATAATGAGAATATACTCTATCCCATTCAACATGAATATCAGGTCGAATAAGTCGAAAAACTTCATCAAGTGGTCTTCCAATCAAAGAAATATCATCAGGAAAAGCTTTTTGAATATTTTTACCAAAACGATGAATACGTAGTGTTGAATCCATAAGAATTGAAAAAGGAAATATCTAGAATGTACAAAACATAATTGATAGTTTATATAATATAAACATTTTGTTATATTTACTCTAAAGAAAGTTTTCGATTTTACAGGAGGCAAAGATGGCACGTTAAACAATCGTTTTACTTGATGTTTTTTATTATCAAAATGTACACAAAAAACAATATCTGAATCTAATAATAGCAATAAGAAAAATGAATAAATATATATATCTATAAATAATACTAACATTGATTATTTGAAAAATCATGCTGTATAGTTACATCAAGATCGTTTTCATTAAATAGTAATGAAGCTGCAGCTTTAAGACCACCGATAGCAAAATGAGCTAGTCCATAACGTACACTTCTAAATATAGTTTTGTCTCATATATATATATAACATTTATTTAGAAATAAATAATTCATATACTTACTTATAATTAAGTATAACTCCATTTTCATTTTCTTCTGTAACATGAAATAAAGGATGTTGCATTTGTGGAAATGTAAATCGATTTGAATCATGTAATTGATCAATAGCAAAAAGAAAATCACGTAAATTTCGTCCAGCTACTCGAAGTATCTTATTAAAACCGTATCTATAAAAATAGCGAATAAAATTTTCACCAAAAAATTGCAAATATTCATCACGTGAACCATCATTTAAAATTTCTACCATACCTTCAAAAATTTGAAATTTCTTTAATGAATAAAATAGAAATTAACTTACAATCACAAATATTCTGTAGTATTTTATCATCATATCGTGAATAAAGTTCAAATGTTTCTGATGGTAAATTAATTTCCTTGACAATACGTTTCCACATAACTAATCCATATGAACCAACAATACCATCTCGAATAGTATCCATAATAATACCGTAAAACATTATTGATAATTATATTCAATATGAGAAGTTGTGTTGATTTTAATGAACTCAAAATGAAGAATTATAGGTACATTAAACTATATATTTAATTTTGTCTGAACACAGAATACGTAGAAGATAGAAGAGAGAAAAAACTAGAAATTCATAATTTATTTTCTGTCATTTACACAACGTAACTTGTCATTTTAATAAGTAGCTTTGTTAAATTTAACAGGAAAAAACTTTTTTCTTCATATTTATCTTTCAGTACAATCTCAACTACTTGAACTTTCTTGTATTTGATAGATGAATTAACCATAAAATTTCTTCTTTTTCAGTTGTCTGCCTTCTATAATATCTTGAAATGTACGTGGAGAATTTATTTTCATAAAAAAATGAATTATTTACACATCAAAGATATTCTTTTGACAAGGAAATGAGCGCTTTGAGAATTATAATGTTCTTGTTGTTTTTTTAGAAGTAATCATAAGAAGAAATTACTATTTTATAAGCTCAATATACGTGAGATGTTTTTTTTAAAATAGAAACAAAAGAAACATATAATTTTTATGGGCAAAATTCTTCTCATGTGAACTTCCTATGTTAGATTCATTCTGTATTTGTTGTCAGAAAACCTGTTAATGAGCAATGTTGTACTGCAATGATTTCTATTTATATGTGTTTTATTAATAGTATAAAATTACAACAAAACATTCAGATGTTGTTCTAATTTGTTTGTCGATAAATAAGAAAATATCAAGTCTTAATCGCAATAATCATTCATTTCTTAGATGAATAACTTATAATTCGTTCAAATAACATTAAATAGTTATAATAGACTGCCACTATATGGACATCGTAATAATTTTTTAGTCGTATTGATTCCAGTCGTAGAAGAATTTTTATTTATGCCTGTAAGCCAATATGTTCCACTCATATTTCTGTCCTATATTAATTACAAATATGAAGAAATTTGATTTGTTCATATTAACTTACTTTTATATCAGATTGACCACGATATTCTATTGCAAAACGATTATTTGTTACTAAATTACGATATGCTGTTTGACTTATATGTATTCGATCAGTCTAGATTTAATCTATCATTTTCTAGTATAAATTGAGTAAATTATTCTACTTACTTCCCCCGCAGTCATTATCTGTCTTGCCTATGATTAATTAAAACTTATGAAAAAGAGATAAAATAATTATTCAAAACATACTATAGTTACTGAATCACCAAATAAACAGTATTGCAGATTTTGATCACCTATAATGCCGCCAATTGCTGCACCAGTATGAAAACCTATGGTTTAATAATAGTTAAATGTCTTAGACACTTAAATGGTTCATCGTGAATAAAAAACTTACCAATTTTAATACCAAATGGTTTACGTGTCATAGGATTAATAAGATCTTTATTAGCTCGTAATAATTCAAACGATAAATAAGCAATAATTTCAGTTGAATTGAGTCCAAGTAGATTTTTCTCAGTCTTTTCTTCATCATTGATAGGTAATGCAAATGACTAAAATAATATCTATGAAGTTTAGTCAATTTTACTAATGATATTATCTACCATTAATAACCCAAAATCTCTTGGACTAATATTTGATCGTTCATGTAAACCAGCAGCAAACATGTAACTTGGATCCGATTTTGTTTTTACTTTCAACACATCATATTTCTCCGTAATATCATCAAATACGTTAATTGTTTGATCAAGTATTTCGATTATTTGAGTAGGTTTAAGATAAGCAGTTGAAATTTTCAAATCCATTATACTTACAAACATTATTGTAACAAGTGGATAACTCTAAACGAATTAAAACCAACATAAATTTAGACAACAAAATAAAACGACTATTTCAAATCAATATACTTCACAAAGACTAAAAGTTGGAATACCCGATTGTATCATAGACGCAATATGTTTTGGCATAATTGTACAGAGTAGATTCTGGTTTTGTTTACGATATTGAAGGAACTGAGTTCTTACATATTCTAATTGTGCTGCACATAATTTTTCCTATATATAAAATATAATACACATTAGTCTTTCAACAAATCATAAAAAATGCTTACTTTCTCAACAATATTTTCCATTTCTCTTGTTTGATGCATTCGAGTTACTAATAATTCACTGGTACCATCAAATAAATTTAAATCAGTTAAATGTAAACCAGCTGATACCATATCATCTGCACTTCCTAAACTAAAATAGTCATTACATTTTACTCTCTTACATAGATATGCATATCGTTAGTAAACTCAAACCATGATGTAACTTACACAGGATGACATAGAAACCATAACATATTTTTATTTTTTATATATTTCATTTGACCTTTTAATCGGATTCTGCCTGATGGTCCAGATCGTAATGGTAAGCGATTCTCCATCAAAAATACAATATGTTGACCATAAGAAAGAATCTTTGAAATATAATAATAGTATTTGAAAAAGAAATGAATACAGAGAATATACTTTATCCCATTCGACATGAATATCAGGTCGAATAAGTCGAAAGACTTCATTAAGTGGCCTTCCTATGATGATAGTAGTCGTTGGAAAAACTTTTTTTATATTACCACCCATATAACGAATATTAATTGAAGAATCCATAACAATTGAAAATGGAAATACCTATAATAAAAGTTATAAGGTTGATTTCAAAAAGCATCATTACTTTGAAAAATGTTAAACCAGTTATATTAGGTAAGCATGAAGAATTCCGTAGATTCTGTGATTGATATGTTCTATTATCAAATTGAATCCATAGGACAATATGAGTGTCTAGATTTTATAATAAATAAATATTTTTCAAACATATAAATATACTCAAAAGAACCTACAATCACTTGTCGACAAATCATTACGAATATATAATCGTAAATTAGTTTCTTTGAATAATGTCTTTGCTGCACCTAAAAGACTACCTATAGCATAATGAGTAAAACCTTGTCGTACACTTCTAAACATATCAAAAAATTTGAAAAGGTTGAATATATGTAATATATATGAACTTACTTATATTCAAGTGTTATACCTGTGTCATCTTCTTCCGTAACATGAAATAATGGACTACGCATTTGTGGAAATGTAAATCGATTTGAATCATGTAATTGATCGATAACAAAAAGAAAATCACGAAAATTTCTTGCAGCAATTCGAAATAATTTATGGTAACCGAAATTATTAAAATATCGAAAGAAATCTTGACCAAAATATTCTAAATATGTATCTCGTGTTCCTTCATGTAAAATATCAGCTAAACCTATTTAAATAAATTAACATAATCAATATATACAGTTTATATATATATGACTTACAATCACTTATATGCAATATAATATTTTCACTATAATGTGTAAACAGATCAAACGTGTCCGATGGTAATTTTAAGTCATGTACAACACGTCTCCATATGTTTAATCCATATGAAAGAATAATAAAATCACGCGCACTATCCAATATTATACCATATAACATTTTTGAACAATAAATGTATATATAGATATTTCTTGACTTTTGAAAATTAAGGAAAGATTGATTTATATTGCAGAAGTTTAAATTGTATAGATCAAATATATAATTACTAACATGTTAAAATATGTTTTAGTAAAAGACACTTGAACTATTCGAAAACTGTTATCAAGGTATCTGATATAATAATAAGAATTTTCTATATATATTAAGTATGTGGTAAATGAGAAGCAAAGCAATACGATAATGTACCAAGAAATATGCAAGACAAATTCAATGGAATCTATCAAATATAAAACAAATGTTTTTCTTTTGTAAATTCTCAGATACTCTAGTAGAATATATAAACAATGAAATGTGAATCAACACGCAAAATATTATGTTTTAATGTAAAGAATTATTTAATGTATCTCAAGTTTATCATATCTTCAAAGTAAGCTTTATATTGTCTATAATATTTGAAACCTGACTCTTCTTTGTTTATTTCTTTTATCTGTATTAAACAATTTGTTTGTATGAAATAGACTTAGCACAAATGTTTTTTCCATTGATGTTTAGAAATCATTTTCAATAATATCATGCTTCTATCATCCATGATAAAATATAAATGTAACAATAGGCTATAATTTACCTCTAAATCAATATTCTATATACTTATTATATTTAAAAACAAAACATGAAAGATACTCTTTTATATCAAAACAAGTTTCTGTGACTTATTATTAATCTATTATATTGGCTTCAGTAAGATTGATTATTATGAGACGGAAATTGATAGCTTCTCTTCCGTTTTTTTTAATTAAGTTGCATGTTATTTATATTCAAAGGATTATTGGTTTATAACTATTGAAATATATTTCACAAGAATTTGGAAATTCTATATATTTTTCTCATATAACATAATCAATTCTAATATTTGTAAATATATTCCTGACAACATTTGGATATATATGTTTCATAAGAAGTTTATGTCAGTTTCTTTGAACAGCAATTCTATATCCAAAATATTGCTATTATATGATACGAAATAACGGTTCACACAGAATAAAATTAATCTGTTTTTTTTTATCAGATTATTTTGATTAACATAGAGACTTCTTTTGACCTGCTTCATTAATTTTTATGGTATTTCACAGCTATCGTTTATATTAATCCCTTAGCAATTAACCGGATAAAATAAATGAAAAGATGATGATTATAATATAAAGATGACAACAAGCTGTTGGTTCAGGAGTGGGATATATATATATATAATTTTGTAGAGAACGACTTTCTCTATTCAGTAGTGTATTTCGAAACGTTGGAAACAACCGATGAATGTTGGAAAAACTGTAGCACAAGTTTTCTACTCCTAGTTTACTAAACCTAACGTTAAAGTTTTCATGTTAGGATAGAAAATCACGTTAGTATACTCATTCAAGTATCTCGATTTTACTTAGACGAGTAAACTTTCCTTAAAATGCACAGTCAATAGAAGTCTTGAGAACATACATGTATCCCTAAACAAACTAAAATAGTTAAGAAGTAATAAAACTCTCTCTAAAGATGTTTCTTCGCATACGTTTTCCCGCACTTTGCCTGGTTATTTCCTTTTTATCCCATTCTCCCTCGAACCTACCAAGAACTATTCAGACGAAAATATACAAAAGCGATTCGACTAATCCATCATGCCCTTATGTAAGTACAAAAGATTCATTTAGTCTAAATAATGAAGAACCTCTTGATAATTAGGTAAAAGATGTATAACGAAGAGATTGAAGAAGCTACACACGTCTGATGTCGGTTCATCACTTTTCCTTTAGGATGTATTCTACTGGGATAATTTCTCCAACAGACCAAAAGATGGAGTAGATAACCTTTTCGTGTTGAGGCGGGCTAAAAAACTAAAACTTAGACACCAACCTATACTACTTGATTGACTAATGTTTAATGAGGAAAATGATTGGAAGAGCTATTAAAGAAGGTAATTTCAGCATACACTATATTCTTATATTTTCACTCTTTTTCCACCCATGTGTATTAGTAAATATAACTAGCTAAGTTGTTCTCTCCCCCTTCCCCTTTGTACACTATAGATATCCCTCCATATAAGTAGATTTTTCTTATTTCAACTCTCCCCTCTCTCTCTCTTCTCTTTTCTCCCCAGCTTCTTTTTTTTAATCTTTCTTGCTCTTTATATTTTTATTGTTTCTTTTTTATTGTAAGCACTTTCGAGTGTGATAATAAAATAGGCATAAATCAAAAAGTATTGTATTTATTATGAAAATTTTATTGCGCATCGTGAGAGAAAAATAAATTGTGAGTATAGATTTAACAGGTTTCTATGAGATGGTTTCTAAACGGAATCTAACCAGTATATGATCAAGCCAATACTTAGTCCAGTTCTCTCTTTCTGACACTTTTGAGAAAACACATGCTATGTATTATTCATAATGTTAATAGAAAGAGTATTTTTAATTTTAGAATTGTTGTTTTGAAATATGCATTTGAAGCCCCTAGAATTATAAAGAGTTTTTGTTTCTATAAATTGATATGTAGAATACTTATGTGCGTGTTAATATCAAACTTATTAGTCTTCTATCGAGACATAATAATTCAAAATTGAAGTAGTCATGTATTTTGCAGTGAAAACTGTCAGGAAACTGCTAATAAAAAATCAAAGAACATTAATAAAATAAGTTCTAAATCTCAGTAGTCTCATAAGTGATGTTTATTTGAAATTATTATGTTCTGATAAAAGACTAATAAGTTTAATATAAACATACACAGGACAGGAGCACTCTACATATCAGTTTATAGAGAGAAAAACTCTTTATAATCCTAAGGGCTTCATATATATATTTCAAAAACAACAATTCTAAAATTAGAATCACTCTTTCTAGTAACATTATGAATAGTGGAAAGCATGTGTTTTTCTCAAAAGTGTCAAAAAAAGAAATACGAACACTCACAGATGGATTAAGTATTGGCTTGATCATGTACTATTTAGATGTCGTGCAGAAACATCTCATGAAAATCTGTTAAATCTCTACTCTTAATTTATTGTTCTCTCGCGATGCACGACAGATTTGTCATAATCAGTACACCACTGAATAGAGAAAGCTTTTCTCTACTAATCTACATATATCCCACTCCTAGGTCAACACTTTGTAGTCGGCTCCATGTTGTCTGAATAACATATTTACTAGTTTTATTCAAGTCTCTATACATACATATTATAATATATAACAAAGTGTGATTGAATAGTAGAAATCTATATTATATTTCTTAGTTTTTATAAGACTAGTATTGATTGTTGTTCATTGAATATATAATAATTACAACACTATATATTTCTAATCAGTGTATTATATGCTCAAAATAAAAGCTAGAAGTTTGAAAAATCTTGATAAATATCTTAGATTTGTTTTTAGAGCATTCAATGATAAGAAAACTCTATTGTGCTGTCGGTATGAATTATTCAGATTCTTCTAGGAATAGAAAAATAATAAGAATAGCTTTCTATAATTCTAAGATTTCCCGTATGTAGAGAAAAGAAGCATTTCAATGTATTGATCAAATAAGTTTTACAAAAATATATCTTAGCGATCTCTTATCGATAATGGCTTGAATTATCACTAGACAAATGTAATTTTCTTTACTTTACAATTTTTTACAGATTCGATATTGTTCAACTTCTCTATTATTTTCAGAACTTGAAAACATAATAAGGTTTATATATAAATTCACTTTGATTTTTATTTTCTTCCATATAGATATGTCTTATTATCTATTTTTTCTAATTAATATCATGTTTCTTTTAATAGCACATGTCAGTTTTTTCTTATCTTCTATGTAATTTTGAGCCTGGTGACAGATTCTTGTAGAGCTTTAATGAGAGAAACTGCGCGATTAATGCACCTTAAACTGGTGCTATAAATATTGTTTATAATTGAAAAAAGAATTTAATATATCACGAGTGCCTCCAAGGAGTTTCGCCGTGTTAGTTTTGACTTTTGATAGAGTAAAATAAGAGAAGTCAATTGGATGTGTGATTATACAGTGCTGGAAGCTTTTATCTCAGGGCACTTTGTTGAACAAAGACATACTCATCAATATGAACTCCATCCTTTTGAGTTGTCCTTTCTTTTTCTCCAACTTCGTCTCATAGGCATTTTTTCCTCATTCGAATAGCTCTTCTTCCATTTGCATTTTTCCTTTAATCAACAAAAGTGGATCAGAATATACGATACCAATTTGTTTTTATTCCTTCTTGAATATTAAGTAGGATAAAAAAAATTGTTGTCAACTATATGAATACACTCTCAAAATGAACTCATCTTATTTTATTTTTCAAAATTCATAAGTAAGTGAAGAGTTAATCTAATAATATATTACTCTCTGTCATATATGAACATCAAATAATTTATTTAAGCTCTTTACTAAATTAAGTTTAGTTGTTTTTCTTTTGAGATAATATACGCATTCTAATTTAGTTTATCAATAAGCCTTGACAGATCATAAGAAATGAACTTTTTTAGTTTACTACGTAATTAACTCGTGCTAGACTACTGAATTTATTTATATATGTAGCAGATGTGAAACGAGATAATTAAGAATACCAACACAATCATCAATAGGAAAAAAAAAGAAAAATTAAAGGAAATTGAAATGATGAAAATAGAAACAGAAGAACAAAAGAATCGCGTACAATAAATAATGTTTCCGTTTAAGCAGTTTTACAGCTCGTTCATAGTCTGAAACACACTCTTATTTCTAGTCTTATATTATCTAATTTTTTTTCTATTCCCATTCATATTTATAAAAGAAAACAATACTATAAAGATTATTCATATTATTAGCTGTGTTGTTTTGTTCCTAGAAACTTTTTTGTAAATTCTCATGCTCATAAATACTAATATAAGCATAGACATAGTTAACCTTATTATTAGCAGTACGTTTTTCTTATCTATATTTATAAAATATACTAATCAATTCAACTAACTATCAACACACTTCCTCTCTAGATAGTAAAGACATTTATTTTGCGTGTGAGGGAGGTCGAAAACAAAACCAAATAACTAAGCTAGTTGATTATCATAATATTCTTCAGTTTCCTTGTTCGATTAGTTGCCATTTCATTATAAAATCTGTCTGATTTCATGTATGTTTTTCTTTACTTTCTTTCTGACCTCTTACATGATGTTATGCCATGGCATAATTGTAACAGACGTTCTCTTAACTTTTTAGAAAAAGACAGTTGATGTGTTTTTTTTTCTTCATGCGTACGAAAGAACACAAAAAAAAGAGAAAAGACTAACTAGGATTTACATAGCCGCATTCTTTACTCAACTAATAAACGACTATAATCCATTTAAAATATAATATGTCTGTTATGTATCTACTAGACTATATAAAGAAATAGTTTGGTTTATATAGACAAATTCCTGGTCTATCAATAACATCGTTATTACATAATGCAATTACAAATTATGTCTATTATTATTCTACAGTTATTATTATTATATAGTATTTTTGGACATGTTAAAACAACGCCGATTCCTCAAAAGGTAATACTTTCTATGGAAAATACCAGCAGTGAAACAAATGTATTAAAACCAAAACTTGATTTAAGAAAATGTTTTAAAGATAGTGATTGTGAGCAACATAGTTGGTGCAACAAAGCTTATGAATGTGAATGTGAAAAAGGTTGGATCACATGGCATAATAGTCGACATTGTTCATACAAACAAAGTTCAAAAATATTAGCTTTGATTCTATCATTTGTTATGGGATTTATTGGTGCTGACTGGTTTATTTTATCACGTAAAGATAGTTTATACATATTATGTGGTATATTAAAAATTCTTCTATCAGCTGGCTGTTGTATTTGGAATCCGTTAGCTGCTAGAAGTAAAAGTCGAACTGCGACAACTGCTGCCAGTTGTCTTAGTGTTACTTTAACTCTTATCTCATTTGTCTGGTGGTTTGTAGATTGGATTCGAATCTTACTTAATAGTTTCCCCGATGGTAATGGTGCTCCATTAATATAAAATCGTTACTTCTTTAAGAATTATAATGATATTAAATCGAATACTTCATATATTCGTCATTGTTTTCGACTATTAATTTATATACGTATATGTATATAGCATTTATTTTTCTTGTAATATCATTATGTACAATTGTTTTCCTTTTTTTTCAATAGAAATTCTATGTTTTCTAATATATATTGTTATATAAAATAGTTCTATCATATGTTTTCAAAAATTCCTATATGTTGTATTCGTTAAAAAATTTATTATATTATAGGAAATTGTAAAAACGTGTCAAGGTTTTCTATACAAGAATATATGTGATTTATTTAATACTAATATTGAGAATCGATTTGATGTATTTGTTAGAACACTGTGACATTTAATATACGGACGGAAACACTATAGAATTCTTTTGAAGTAATCGGAAATTGAAAAAAAAGATTGTCAGTAAACAGCTTACACATCGATTAACTTCTATCAAACATTTTTTTAACTTAAAAATGTCTGATTAATGGATTAGATATCAACATGTGATTCATTTTTAAATTAAATAAATGATTTTCATATTAAATTTGACAATTTTAGCAGATAAAATATTCAAAAGAACAATTATTTATTCTAAAGATTTGTAAATCGGATCTTTCAGCATAATTATTATGTAAATAAGAATCGTTCTCGAACGCCCTCTTTTGTTCTATTTTTTCTTTCATCTCGATAATGTAACCAATATGAAATGAGATGAATTAAACATATAATCAACGGACCATTAATATCAACATGAAATTATACCAACAGTCATAGTTTATTTTATGTTATTTTTAAATAATAATCAAAATATGTCTCAGCTTATATTTTTTTTCGATAATCAATACATTTTATTGCATTATAAATATACCATAATATTTCTATGGCTTACATGTACTTTCAATTTTGATCTTGGTTATTTGCGCGAAAAGAAAAACAGAATATTCTTCAAAAAATGTTGATAAACTGAATTAATTTTAATTTTATTAATGTATTATATAATCAATACTGTTAAAAAAATGAACTATTACAATGTTTTAAGTTATATATGATCAATCGAGTACGTATGTTGGTTTATTTGTATAATATAAATTTAATCAAAAGAAGATATAAATAGAAAGACTATTCAATAAGAATATAATTATATATTTGAGAGCAAAAAAAAAGAAAAGAAAATTATTTCTTTTTTCTATTTGTTTCAAAAATTTATTAGAGTACATGCGTAAATATTTAACGAAATAAATAAGATTGATACCATAGGAACTTACTTTAAACAATATTGTTTCTTATTTAGGAAATATATTTTGATTGTCGTATTGACCTTCAGATCGCTTTCTTTTTTTTCTTATGTGTAAATATTCCAGCCGCTATACTTATTATAATGAATAAGAAATATGTTATTCTATTCTTTTTATCTTGCTCTTTTTATCCAACATAGACAAACAGAAACACAAATTTTGTCCTTTCTCTATATGCATGTAGTTATCGTGAAATATCGGGGTGTCTATATGGATACTTTTAACATAGACATAGTCTAGATTTTTATAAAAAATGTTTTTTTTCTTTTTGATTATGTTTTATATGAAAGTCGTAAATATAGGGTTGAGATTTAAAGAGAAAAGGAAGCAGACGTGTTTCTATTTGCACTATAAGTAAGAAATATTATCGTTTATGCTCTTGTTTTTTCTGATATATACTATGAAAGTCACGTAAACCCCGCTGATAAGAGCCATAGTACATAGGTTAAGTTTTATGACTCTTATTTAAGATAAATGTAAGTAAATAATTTATTTTCTTCATCATAATCCACGTCATTTTAGATATAATTTTTAATCATGACAGGTGCAGATGCCCAAAATTTGGATTTACTTCGATCATCATTGAAACTTTGTCCAAATTTTCCAAAGAAAGGAATTACATTCATGTATGCATTATTTTATAATTATTTGAAAAAAAAGAATATGTATATATTGTTTTTAAATTTTAGTGATGTTTTTGGTGTTTTTGCTAATCCAAAAGCTCACCGAGCATTGATTGATCTTATTTTAAGTCGTCTGAAAAAATTGGGCACAACTATTGATGCTGTTGTTGGACTTGAAGCACGTGGATTTATATTTGGTCCACAAATAGCTTTAGAATTACAAGTTCCATTTGTACCTGTTCGAAAACTTGGTAAACTTCCAGGAAAAGTAGCAAAAATTGATTATGATCTTGAATATGGTAATGAAAAAACAATCGTCATATGAAACAAATATTAGATTTCGGTATTTATTTTCTAGGTAAAGATACAATGGAAATTCAAACTCAAGTTCTTAAACCAGGGACAAAAATTCTTCTAGTAGATGATTTACTTGCTACTGGCGGTTAGTATTTTTATGATTATTATTATTTATAATAATAAATTTGTATTTTTAAAGGTACACTAGGTGCAGCACAAAAACTATGTGTTGATCTTGGATGTGAAGTCGTCGAAACATTAGTAATTATTGAATTACTTGGTTTAAATGGGCGTAAGAAATTAACAGATGTTAATCATTTTACAACTCTATTACAATTTTCTGAAGCTGATCTGGAAGAAATTGCTACTAATAGTGATCGAATACATGAACCAAATCATGCATGAATCTCAACAAAACAAAACAGTCTTCCTAGTTGTTTGTTTTTTTTTTAATAAAATTTGCATGCGAAACATTTTTCTATTATTGTTATACACTTGATAAAGTATAATGATAATGTAACCCGTACGAACTCATAACAACACCCTTGTCACAATAAAATATATATTATGAAGTTTTTAAAACTAAAAATATAAAACTTTGTGTAACTAACATTACAATTAAAATATTGAGTTTACATTTTGAATAAAAATGAATTTAGAAGATCTCAGTGGATAATTAGAGTGCTAAGATGATGTGATGTATGTGTTCATTTCTTTTTCTAGATGCTATGTTATGACTGATTGGCGACCATTTTTATTTGGTGGTCTCGCCTCGAGTGTTGCTGAATTGGGTAAATTTTATTATAATTTCAATTAATGCTTTTAAGCCTTTTCATTATTAAAGAAAAGAGAGAATTTACGAGAAGAAAATATTTCGATGTCTCACAAATCGGTAGTTAGAAGTTTATCTGTATTAGAACTCGAACCGGTAGTTATTCTAATTATTTATTGCTTCCTAATAAGTGACGAAAAATCAATTTCAAACTGTGTCTACTTATTATTTGAAATTTTCTTTCTAGCAACATATCCAATAGATCTAACAAAAACTCGTTTACAAATTCAGGGACAAATATTTGATAACCCTAGTCAAAAATTACAATATGCTCAAAAGAAATATACAAATATGTTTCAGGCAGCTTATCGGTAAATATATTATATACGAAAATTTTCTTTTTTAATTTATTGGTTTATTTTAGAATTGGTCAAGAAGAAGGTGTAAGAATGTTATATTGTGGGTATAAAATAAATCACTTCATTATCTTATCTCTTTTACAATATAATATTTCTTTTCTTTCTAGCATTTCAGCAGCGATATTGCGTCAAGCAACTTATGGAACAATCAAAATTGGCATATATCAAAAAATTAAACGTTTTTTCGCAGAAGATATTTCACGTTTGTATTCTTAATCTATTGATTTAATATTATTGAAGAAATCGTTGTTTTGTTTTTCTTTGTATAGAAGAAAAACTTTATATTAATGTTTTAAATGGTATGTTTTCTGGTTCGTTAGCTAATGCTATAGCAAATCCGACTGATTTATTAAAAGTAAATCCAAGGCTTCAATATATATTTATGAATTCATAAACATTTTAGATTCGTATGCAAGCGAATCATCCAAGTGTTCAAGGTAAACGGCTTTTTCCAGCAATGGCTGCTATAGCAAAAAAAGAAGGTATTAGAGGTCTTTGGAGTGTAAGTACGATAATTAATATAGATAATTAGAATTGTTTTCGTTTTAAGAGTGTAATACCTACAGCTCAACGAGCAGCTATTGTTAGTGGTGTTGAATTGGCTGCGTATGATTGGGTGAAAAAAAACTTAATATATCGTTTTAATCATACAGATACAATTGGTACTCATTTTTTAGCATCATTTACTGCTGGTTTTGCTGGTGCATTAGCTAGTACACCGATTGATGTTGTACGAGTAAGTTACAATACTTTTTTTGTTAAAAATATATGTGTATTATTTATTTTCTTAAAGACTCGTTTAATGAATCAAGAAAAGTTAATTCATAACCTAAATTCAACCTCTACTCCGGCATCTTATAAAGGAGTAATAGACTGTTTCGCGAAAGTAAGTTTTTTTTGTTTTTTTTCGATTATGAATATTTGATGATTTTGTTATATTTAGACTATTAAAAATGAAGGTTTCTTTGCATTATATAAAGGCTTCTTTCCTGCTTGGCTTCGATTAGGTCCCTGGAATATTGTTTTTTTTATTGTTTTCGAACAATTAAAAAAACTAGACAAAAAATTGGAAAATTAAAGCTCTAGTAACAATGATCAGTACCAATAATTATAACGTGACCTATGTTTTAAAATATAGTATGAATTATTTTCCAGTCAATTATTTTTTTATTTGCATTTACTATCATGATCTGACATTGCAAATTATTATTATTATTTTTTTATTGTTCTCTTCTTCTATTCTGTATCTGTCCATATTAACCATTCGAGCAACAATCAAATGAAATAATGATAACATTAGAACAGATTGATTTTTCTTCCTTTTTTTTGTATTAATCAAGCTTTTTTCTGTCTTTAAACTTGATGGTGAAATATCAAAAATAAATATAAACGATCTTGTGTATTTAGTTAAAAAACTACTATATCTCTTTTTTATCTAGTTATTTACAGTATACATATTTAAATGAAATAGATAATCGTGAAAATATTTTTCTCATACAAAACAAAATACGGATTATAATAACGAAACTCAGCATTGGTATGTTTCAGTATAGATATGCATCTACTGTAATCAGAAAAAAATTTATATTATGATTGATATTGATACGGGATATATTAGATAATTCTGTCTATTCGAATAGCAAGTATTTTATGAATGTGATATTGATATTATTTACTAGACTGTTGGAAATCAAGAAAATAACGTTTCGATTTCAAAGAAAATATTATTTATCTGTTGATTAAAAAACCAGTTTAGCTTTTGTTCTTGATTAACAAAAATCTATTCTAACCTTCAATTTAGCATTTCATTTGATATGTCATTTAGGAAAATAATGAAAATAGTTATACGTACAAATATAATTGTTAATCGGTTATGTTTTTACCTGGCTAGTGGTTGAAAAGAACAAAGAATTTCGTTTCGTATTACTAATAAAAAATATTGTCAAGGATTGATAAGACACAATGACTTTATCGATAAAGATTGCTAATTACAATTAATGAGTATAATCGAATAAATATTCTATATACGGTCATCATCACCTATAAGATTTCAATCGATCAATCATATTATAAATATTATTGCTGGCTTTATTACACTCCTTTTCATTGATGACATTAGGCATACATGAGATTATCACCTTCGATAATGAGAAAAAAGGTAATTATTACGAAATCGATAACAAATATATTATTAAAAATGTTTTAATTGCTCTTCAACATAATCTATTTCTCTAATAGATAATTAGATAAATGATTGATTTTTTTTCTTATCAAGCAAAATAATTTAACCACTAAGCAATGCAATAACATATCATCTTTAAATAAATCATATTAAGGACAATAATATGAGATATTATACATAAATAAGAAAGCCTTCATATATTTCTTTTGTTTTAATCTACACCTAACATTTATAATTTGCAAAATCTTTTTTGACATATTCATCATGACTTTGTGTTACACTATACATCTTTTAGAAATGATTTTTTTGCGAACATTTAGAATGTATGACATATTTTGTTAGGTCAAAGCCTTAATGTATTGTTTTCCTTATCCCTATTATTTTGATTTGATTATAAATACTGCATCAAATACAGGTATTGTTTCATTACAAACCTACATCACGATCAACGATATGGATACATCAACTCTTCTTCGATCATTATCATTAGGCGGAAGTGAAGATGATACTAATCTGTCACCAGCAATGTCAGAAGAAAATACATTTAATAATCAATCTGATCAAGTATGTAATAAAATTTGATTTTTAATTCTAATTTCTACGAATATTTTGTTTTTCAGGCTTGTACGTCAACGTCTAAACGACGTTATAAAAGATCTGATAGTTCCACTTCAAGTTCTTATGTTGTTGAATATGGTCCCGTACGTATTCGTCATCGACGAACATTATCACAAACATTAGCAACAGGTCGTCGATCAAAAGATGATCCAATTGAAGGTGACGAGGCTATTAAACGTGAATTACGACGTGCAAAAAATCGTATTGCAGCTCGTGATTTAAAAAGAGCTCGAGATCAAGTTGAATTAAATCTAGTTCAACAACTTAAAGAACTTGAACAACAAGAAGAAGAACTAGAAACTCAACATAAACAATTAGAAGAACGTAAAGCACAATTAAATCGAGCTGTATACAATGCAAGACAAGCTCCATTAGTTTCATTAATTACTGATATAGACATTCCTATTTATTTTAAACCACAAGATCAACCTAATCTTTTATTTGATCTTCAGTTATTACTGGAAAATATTGATGACCAATATTCAAAGCTGAACCATTGATATTTTATTTTTTTTCATGTATATTTACTATGTTTTTTTTTCTAATAAATGATATCTGTATTTCACAAAAATGAATTTTCAATTTTTTCTGAAATAGAATTATTATACTGTTAATAGACGCCATCTGGTATTTGTCATATAGGATTTTATTATTCTGACTAAATATAACTACCAATCGTATGCGACTGAATGTTTTTTGTTGTTAGAAAAAAAAGGAGATACTTTTTCCTACCCTATTTAAATTTCGATAGTTGAATCATCAAAAAATGTGTAATTACAATTAATATCAATATTTTTCTTAGCAAAATTCCATTTCTTGGAAATAAGCTTAGAGAAAAAAGACAAAGATTTATCGATTACTTTAGATAAACTTTTAAAAAATGGCAACATTAGATCAATTTGTTGTTAATATACGACAATTAACAACGGACGGTAAATTTAGTGATCTAGCACAAGCATTATCTAGTCCAAATGTTGATCATCTTACTAAAAATATTCAACATATTGATTCAATTATTGCTACATTTCCATTACCTGAATATTCAATGGTATAATCAAATTTTTCAAATAAAAACAAATAAGAAATTTTGTTTGATTTCATTCTGTTTTTTAGTGTATGTTAGCATGTTTACATGCAGTTGTAAAAGCACCAAATATACCTGATTTTGATTTATTTCTTACACAAGTGGATACATTTATTCAAACAAGTTCAGCTGAGCAAATTTATTATTTACCTCAATATTTATGTGAAATATGTCATGTTATTACAGAACGACTTCGAAAAGAGAATCGAGCTCGCGTTGGTAAGTTAGAAATAAAATCATAGGAGAAATGCTTTCGAAAAAGTAAACGTAACTTATAATAGTCAGTTGATCGAGTATAAACTATTTTCTGTATGATAAAAAATAAACTAAACAATCGATTTAGAAGAAAGAATTTATGATTAACATAATATGTATACAGAATGAAAATAAGATCTATCGCGTATTTATCATAAACGAATTAGTTTATACGCGTGTTGAAATATTCTGTACGATTTACTTAATGCAATCGCTTCTTACTTTTTCTTATATATCAAAACCTTCACATTTTATTTAAATGTTATTATCTCGTGATATTTTCTTTGTCTTTTCATTAATTCACAACATTTTCTGACGAGTTGTCAAAAATTGAACATAGTTTGTATAGATTTTTAAAATTATCTTCTAATACGGTTTCTGTATTTACTTCTTAATTAATATGAATATCATTTAGTCTGTTTGTTAAATCGATTATTAATTCGATTCCTTTCTTTTGTAAATTGTTTTTATGTCATGAAGGCCTTCGCGCTTTGACGTACAACAACGTCAATTAAAATATATACATTCATTATGTTCGTTTTGTTATATATACGTCACACATAGGTAAAAAAACATTTTGACATGATTCGTATTAGACAGAATGAGATTATTTATTTGCGAAAAAAGAAATCTAAAAAATACGCATTTCATATATGATATATAAACTCTCATTGGAATCTGAACATTTCTTTTCTGACTATTTGATAGTTCTACTGCAAACAATAACTGTAAATGATCTTGCGTCAACTAATGATGAAAAATCTGCCCAGTTACTTGCGGACGAAAATCCGTGAGCTCGATAGTTACACCTTTACTTTCATTATATAATATATAAGCATTTAACATTGATGAGTGGATGCAGGTGAGAGCAAGCGCGTAGATGAAAGATAAATTCAGCATTCACACGCACATCCTCATATTCGACCAACCGACTGACAATGATAGCTCCGTAGGTTGATGCCAAAGAAAAAAGAGAAAAAGTTAAGACCAATCATGAAATAACTATCACTCTAATAGATATATTACTGTCAATGTAGTGATCACTTGTTGTTGAAGAATTAAATATGAACACATGTATTGATCTTCATAATTCAGTTGATATACGAAATAGTTTATATTTAGGAATTCCAATACTTTATCGAGCAATTGAATTACTTCGTCGTGAACCTGGTCAATTACTATCCATTCATTCAGATTTATATCAACTTTGTTTACTTTGTCAATGGTTTGAACCTGCATTAACTTATCTTGAAACTGATATTATTGATATTAATCGTGAAAATGGAAAATTTGATGTTAAACATCTATTACTTTCCTATTATTATGGTGGAATGATCTATGCTTGTATAAAACAATTTGATCGTGCTGCAAACTTTTTTGAGAATGTTATTACTGCACCTGCAACAGCAACATCAGCTATTGCCGTTGAAGCTTATAAAAAATATGTTCTCGTTAAATTAATATCAGGTACAATACCAACAAATCATTTACCAACATATACAAGTCGAAATGTTCAACAAACAATCAAAAGTTTATGTAGTACACAATATACAGAATTATTTAATCTATTTAATAATGGTACATTAACACAATTTGATGAATTTGTTAATCGTCATCGTGATCAATATGCACGTGATAGAAATTTAGGTTTAATTAAACAAACACGAAATGCATTTATTTGTAATAGTATCCAACAATTAACAAAAACATTTTTAACTGTATCATTAAAAGATCTTGCTAATCGTGTACAACTTCAATCAACTAATGAAGCTGAAAAATATTTAATTGATATGATTGAAAATGGACAAATATTTGCATCAATTAATAAAAAAGATGGTAAAAAATTTAAATTTCTATCTTTTTATTTCGAAACATAAAATATTTTTAGGTATGGTTATATTTCATGGTTCACCGGAAAGATTTGATGCAAATAATATGTTAGCAAAATTACAAGATGAAACAGAAAAACGTATGCAAGCTGAAAAACAATTAAAAGAATTAGAACGACAGATATCATTGAGTAAAGCATATATACAACGTACACAACAATCAAGTCCTTATCATGATCGTCCGAAAATACTTAATTAATTCATCTAAAATATTTAAGCTAAACATTGCCTCTACTTTTTTTTCTCTGTCATTTGTTCATTTGATTTATTATAACACAGAAATTTTTTTTAATCAAAACAAGAAAATATGAAAAAGAATATTTAACTTGTAAAACACAAAAAAAACAACAAGACTTTTTTTTATTCTTCTTCTTATTTATAGACTACATATGTAAATAAGCAATTCTTTCTACGGAAGATTTTATTTTCATTTCATAATGGAAAGAGCACCATCACCGATTTTCATTCCAAATACATTACGAGATATTAATGATGTATATTAGAATTTTTATTTGATATATTTTATTCATTAATTTTAATTATTGTTTTAAGATTACAACAACAACAACACTACCATCAACAACAACAAGACGTGAACTCGGTGTACCTTCAGCAAGTAGTAGTGAATTCATGGATGTTAATTCTGAATCTCATCGGTCAAAAATTCGACCAGCTGATCCTGATTATCATCGAGCATCATCTCGAAATGATTCTTCGAATTCGACTCGTATTACTAATCAAGTATGTTTCATTTTTTTTCCTATTCACTTTACTTTTGTATAAAAACGGGGGGTCTTTTTTTTCTTTCTTTTCCTTCTTCCTTTCTTCGATGACTTGTGCGTGTGAGTGCTTTTTTTGTAACAGTAAAAGTAAAAAATTACATATAGGAGAAAAAACTAACACAAGAAAAAAAGAACGAAAACATTTGCTTCGACGCTGGATTGTCTTTCTATATATTTATATGAATAACTGACACAAAACTTTTTATTTCGATATTTAAAAAAAATTATAATGGAGAATAATCAAAAGACTAAAGAGTCATCGCGACAAACAATGAAGAATGCTATCAGTCAACTTCAAAATCTCTTCAAACCAAATGAAGTCAAACAGATCGTCGTAAGATCTAAATAAATAATAAAATCAATTTTTGAAAAATACTTCATAATTATTCATTATAATTTCTTGTTTCTTTCTTTTTAGCCTTTATTTAGATCAGTAACTCAAAAAGCTGATGTGGATGATGAAAAATCTATTCAACAACAAATTAATAATGAAACTCTGGTGAACGAGAATGATTCAGTATTAGGAGCTGCTGGTTATGATCCAACTCGAGTAACAGAAATTGATACAGATGCTGCATATGCTCTTCAACTTCAACAAGAGGAATATTCAAGAGAAAGTTTAGCAATAAATCAAAATCGGTTTTTCCCATTTCAAGTAGAACCTGACAATGAATTAACAGCTAGTGCTCTACCTTATTTACCTGGTCCTGATATTCATCCATTTACGAATGATGAACAACTTGCAGCATATTTACAAGCACAAGAACATCGAACTAGACATCGATATCCTGGAACAGATATACCATATGTTCCAGTACGACAGCGACCAAATCCAATGTCTGTTCAAACTTCTGAGGTTGATGAGGATCCAGCTGAGGCTATTCCACCTTCATTTGCAAGATTTCTTCGACACCACTCGTCAAATAATGAAGACGATAGTGATGAAGATACTTCTAATGTGAATATTCATCTTCCATTTTTCCAATTTTTGGCTAATCGAGGTCGGTCTTCAGCAGATAATTTTCATCTATTGTTTCCCGGTTATCGTGGACGTGGTGGTTATCGTCGTCGTTCAGGAAATCTTCAAGATACAGAGGAAGATTTTGGTCCTGAAGATTACGAAGTAATTCATATAAATTTATTCTAAATACATATATTTAAAAAATAAAATTCTAGCGATTGCTTCAACTTGATGATACAGTACATAAGAAAAAATTAACTAAGGATCAAATAAATACCCTTCCATTGGAACAATTTCGTCGTACATCAAATAATACTGATGAGGAAAATAAATGCGGTGTTTGTCTCGATCATTTTGAAGTAAATCAAACATTACGTCGATTTCCATGTCGTCATGTATATCATAAAGAATGTGGAGATCGTTGGTTACAAGTAAATATAATTTAAAAAATTATTTTTGTTATTTTAAAAATTTTTTTTTCTAGGAAAATAATGCATGTCCAATCTGTCGAGAACCACCCATTAAAGTACAATCAAGTGTATCTTCACGTCATCATAGAGTCACTAATCCTATGAGACGACCATCACATATTAATCGAAGTTCTACTAATCGAAATAATAATACCACTCATCATCGAAGAGGAGGACCGTCATTTCAACGTCCATCGTGATATTTGTTACATTCTTTATTTCATTTATTATGAACTGTTGATATATACATATATCTATAATCATTTGTGTGTGTGTGCGCGCGTGTATAACTATTATTTATAATGAAAATCATTCGATATGAGAGAACCTTTACAATATGTTTTCTTTTTCCATAGAATAATCTTAATCTTTTTTTTACAAATGAAACAGTCATAAATGTTTTTTCTTTCGCTTTATTGTACAAAAAAAACACAAAGTCAATTTATAAGAGCAAAAGTATATTCAAGAATAAATTTCATTTGGATTTCTTATTTAGTATTGTTTTATTTTAAATATATAATAACGCATTTTTCATTCTCTTATTTTATTTAGATTATGTATACTACTGACGAACGATTTGAAGGCAAATAAGAAAATTCTCTTCGAATTTTATTTCTTAAACAAATTCTAATATTTTTAGCTGGAACTTCAACACCAAAAATGACTAATAATGATAATAATAATAATTGTCCTGCTATTCGTTCTGTCAAAGCTGTAAAAAGTACAACATCACGAATAATTCCATCAGTTTCTCTGTCATCACCACCGCTTGAAGATCATGATTATGATGGGGGATGTAAGTATTTGTTTTAATCAAATTGATTTATTACAATTATTTATCTATACAGCATCATGTCCTAGTTTTGATTTACATCTCTATGCACATATTGATCGTTCATCATTGAATCGATGTGTTTTCACACCAGTACCTCATCAAACTGGTAAGAAAAATTGATCGAATTTTCAAAAAAAAAGAAATTTATCTTCCAATAATTCTAGTTTCACAAGACCAACAAACTTCCCGTAAACGTAAATATGAATCCGAAGATTCAACCGATGAATATACTAAAAATTCAAAATTCGGTAATGACAATGGTGAATTAGCTGATATCATATATAATATGGATAAGCGGCTCGATGAATTAACACGTACATGTAATGGATTACGTTCAAGTATGCATGTATTAACAAAAATGGTAACACAATTAGTTAATAATCAAAAACAAGTAAATCTTTTGTAAATATAAAAATCTTAATAATTGTTTTGTTTTAGAATACAAATATAAATGATTTTGATGACATGTCACAAACGCGATTACCCTATGTGCGTTCTTCAACGAGTGTATCATCAAAAAGAACATTGAATAAAATAAAATGTCCAGAAAATATGACAGATATTGTTTCACAAAGACCAACAGATTTTTTATGTCGACTTATACGTAAAGCATATTCGACTGATGAAATCGCTGCTGGTATTACTCCCGATGAACGTTTAGAAAGAATTAAAGGTAAATTAGAATAAAAAATTTTTTTTTTTATGACTGATTTTTTTTCAGAGGCTGTAGCTGGTCGATATTTTTATGATGAACCCGAACAATTCGAAACATTCTGGACGAAAGATGCACATCAGTCAATTCTTGGTCAAGCACGTGCTCAACGATGTCGAGAACGAAAGGTTAAATATATAATCTCTTATTTCCGTTTCTCATTATATTTATTTTAGAAATTATCTTACAAATAATTAATGATTCTTGACAATGTACAAACGCAATAGATGTAGATTTGTAATATAAGAAGACAAAAGTACAGTCATCATTCTTTCTTATTCTTTTGTTCTTGTTGTATTTTATTATTACTTCCCATATATCTTGTTTGTTTTGTTTATTAAATAAAATAAAAACAAGAGCGAGATATACTTCTGAAAGAGTAGATTTTCATTTATTTTTAATAATAATGTATCGTGCTAATCAATAAATAACATATCTTATATAATAAAACAGTTCACTGAAATCTAATCAATACTGAATATCATCGACATCTGTTGATGAATTTGGAATTATATTACGAAATAATAATATAAATGGAAAAGAAAGGCGAGCAATAATAGCTTAATCACTCTTCACATTGTATCCGATCTTTCGCAATATATCTATATATTCAATTGATTGATTAATCCAATTTTCTTTTTGACTAGAAATTTTATTTTATAAATCTTTCTATCATATTCGTCCATAAAGATTTTCTTCAAGGTCAAGGCTAAATACATTTTTTAGATATAATGTCGAATTCACCATCAACAAATCCACAAGTCGATACAAATAATTCTATTACTACAAATCAAGTGACACCAGAAGGTATTTTTTTATTATTGCAAATCATTGTCAAGTATTTACATTTATATATATATTAATATAGATCAAATATCAACATCTGGAGAAATTCAAGAGATAGATGTTGCCCAAGCAGATCAAAGTGATAGGTAATGTGTTTTATTTAATTTTCTGGATTATTTTATTGTTTTTTTGTCTAGCTGGGAAACCGATGATGAAGGTGATTTTTATACTGAAGAATCCAATGGTCGTCTATCAGATCAAGAAGATGATGATAATTTACTTAGTTCGGGTTTGTCAAAACATTTAATAGAATGTTATCCAATGAGTACTGCTGAAGAAGCATCAATAGTCGGTGTTGTATGTGATATTTGTCTAAATGAATACAAGGCACATGATAAAGTACGAACCATACCTTGTTTACATAGATTTCACACAAGATGTATTGATAAATGGCTTAAGGTTTGATACAAAAAATGATTTGATTACTTTTTTTAAATTTTATAACTTTAGAAAAGTTCAAAATGTCCAATGTGTCGAAGTGATTTACGTAAATCGAAATGGTATTCATCATAAAAATATATTAAATTAAATATTCTCACTGTTAATGTTATTTTTCTTGTTATATTGAATGGTTCTCTCATTTTCCTATATTTTTTTTTCTTATGGCAATTTGTATGATTTTCTGTAAGCAGTCAGCAGATTTATATATATAAATGAAAAACAATCAGTCAACTATAAACAATTTTCTTCCTATTTTCTACTGTTGAAATAATGATTATAGTTTGACAAAAAAATAGAATATATATGTGAAAGAATCTTTGAAGAGTAATTTTTTGTTCATCAAATCGAATATATGATAAACAGTCATTTGATATCTAATTGATAAATATTCTCATATTTCATTTTTAGATGATATTATTTACTAAATATTTTTATTCATTATGAGACTTATATTTAAATCAATTATAATAATTAGTATTATTATTATTCCATATTGCCTTGCTGAAGGTAATTATTATTTTATTTTAAATTATATTCATTATGAATTTTTCTTCTAGATTGGAGTATAACTGTATATACAGGAACAGAACGTTTTGCTGGAACAGATAGTAATGTTTATATTCGTTTATTTAATTCACAAGGTGAAAGTACAAGTGAATATCAATTAACTCATAATAATTGGATGCCTGAACATGAATTTCCAGTACGAAATTTATTTGAACGTGGTGCAAGAGAACGATTTGAAATTAAAACAGAAGATATAAAAACTGTTGCAAAAATTCAAGTAAGACATTTTTATGTTTTAAAACATTATTGTTATATTAGGAATTTTTTCTCGGCTTTCTTTCGAAACAAAAGAAAATTGTATATGACAATTAATGCTTTTAATATATTCTAATCGTATTATAGAATACAAAGGACTATGTCAATATATTCAATTATTCTGATGAAATGAAGTAACTAGCATATAATCATAAGATGTTAGAACTGAGTGAACTTTTCGACTAATCTTTTGAAAGAATTTTTATACGGATTAGAGAATAATAGATTTTCCATCATTTATTGTTTTATGACTTGAGCATAGAAATAAATCCATAAATTTCCATTGTTTGAAAAGTAAAGCTCGAATAATAATTGACGAGTCTGATTCATTTCATTTATTAATAGAATAAAACATATGCTGAAATTGAGATTTTTCATAATTAAATTCTGTTTTTTTTTCGATAAGAATAACTTCAATGTTTGTACAGGCATAGAAATTAGTATAGTAATTTCTCAATAGATCTATAAGTATATCTTGATGATTTCTTATATGAATACAATAGCATACTTTATAAGTCATACAGTGTTTTCTTTTGATTATTATACAATTAGATTTTCTATTTCTTTCTATTACTATATAATAATCTCTTACATACTATATACTCGAAAAGCTGTCACATATAAACATTATTTTTAATCAACACATCTATTAACAAATAATAGATCATATATAACTATTTAACTCAGCTTCATTTTCTCGAAACTCGTCTTATCCTGAAGAATGTTTCTTAAAAAAGAATTTCATATACTTTCACGTATATTAAAAAATATCTGTACATTCTTTACAAATATTTCTATTTATCATTTTAAACTTATTCATTTCGTATAATATGCAACAGTTTATATAGTAGAATCATCTTAGGAAAATTTACATGTATATATAAAAATGTTGCCTAACATATCATTAATTGTAATGACATATTGCAACAGTAATTTTTGCTATTTATAAAGATTTCATATTGCACTAAATGACGTATGAAACAGTTGTTATTCGCTTTTCTTTACACAATGAGACTTCATTCATAAAAAAGAACTTAATCTAATATAATTATTTCGGAAAGTCGCAAAAAAATTTGACATCCGATGCATATATATATATATGAAATAGTTTGCTAATGATATCCTTTTCTTATGTCATTTAATCCCAAATCTAACAAACATTCTAATAGATGATTGGGAGAAGTATAATGTATCTGTTTTTCCTTGACTTATATTATGTGGATGAAAATCTTGACATGAATCTTCATTTCTTTTTATTACTTGTTCAATTGGATATTTTTAGCTTAGGGAAATCGTGATTTTACTCCTTCAAATATTTATATTCCGTTCAACGGATACATTAAGCCTTAACACCTTAAACTAAAAACTATTTCCTGTCATTTCACATATGAATGCTTTGATAGAGTTGTATGATAAATTTATGCGTTATATTTGATTCGTTACGTTGAAAAAATTTGAATTAAATTTAATATTAACTATGACAGAAATGAAATGCTCTTCCTTTTGATATATTAATTAAATAGATACTGATAAATTTTCTTCATTTAGGTCCGACATAATAATTTTCCATGGTGGCAAGCCGATTGGTTACTTGATCAAGTTGTAGTTGAGCGTAACCGTGACAGTGCTAAATATGTATTTAAATGTAATTGTTGGCTACGAGGAGAACGTCCATATGTAACACTTTCTACTTTTCCAGGTAATGAATTATCCATGAAATAGAATCATAGAAATTTGATTTGTATTAATTTTAGATCCACGTTCTAATGATAAAGATAAAACTAACCGTTTATCTTCGAAAACTAAGCGAGCTTTTATTACTATTCTATTAGTTTTAATTGGCTTAATATTGAGTATCTTTTGTTGTTACAATAAATATTATCGTCAACAACGACATGCATCCTTATCTTTGACTGATACAATTGAACAAACTCAATGTGAATCATCTCCTTTTGATAGGCATCCACAAATACCGAGATCATCAACTCAATCATTACGTCCACAACATTGGATGAATATTTTACGTCAATGGAAAAACGGTCCACATAGATCATCATCAGAGAGTTATACACCAACATCACAGTCAGTAGCAGCAGGTGTTCCTCAATTAACAGTAGAAATATCTCCAGCCGACGAACCACCTGCTTATAAAGGTATATTATTTATATTTATATTCTCATCACTACTCTTCATATTTCATCTTTTAATAGATTTATATCCAAACTCAACGAATAATACTTCGAACTCAAATTTATGATAATTTTTAATAAATTGTATATGTTATTGAACAGTATTTTATATAAATATTTTTTTTTCTTATGTTATATATGGAATTCTAGTCAATATATACTTTGTTTTTGAAATATACGATTATCGAATCATACGGTTCTTCTTCCATGCTTTGTTGTTGCTTCTTTTAAAATGAATTATTTGTTTCTTTTTATATTGCTTTTATTTTTATTCGTCTCTTTTCATTCACTGTCTCATTCTACATCATCAACACTTATTTTTTACTTAATGTATCTGATATTCTAAATTGGACGTTGGGTTTTCTTTGCTTCTTCTTCTATTTTATTTCTCTTTCTTTCTTTTTTTTGCTCGTTTTTTTTTATTTCCTTCGTTTTTTCTTCATTATAATGGGGCTACGACGTCATCACTATAGCTCTTTGCTCGGTTATTGATAAAAAACACTTTGGTATGCGATGGTAGCTTTTTTCGCTTCGCTATAGAGAGCAGCAACGTCGAGCGGCTGAGGCAAAAAACTTGTGCGTGCGTGTATATTTTGTATGTGCACGAGATTGGTCGTCGATGTCGACGAACGCATATTATAGCCGGTGGCAGAACGCAGAACATAGAATAAGAGAGAATACGTATAGTGCCTTGATGATGATGATGATGTAAACTATCGTATATACGTCTACATGTGTATGCGTAGGAGACGGATGCACTTGCGTACTAGTTTTGCTTGCTTGGTTGCTTGTATTTCTACTAGTGGTATGTTTCATATATATGTATATTCTATGCTACCTTATCGTTTCTATATCGTTCTTGGCTAGCCGAACGAACGATCAATGAAAATAATAAATCCAGCTAGTGACACAAACGTATGGTTTCAACCTTTTTGTCTTCTTCTTTTTGCCATTTCTTATGACAGCAAACAGTGACAAAGATGCATAGACATAGAAGCAAGAAAGAAGTCAGAAAATAGCTGTCATCATTGCTGAAGACAACACGCAGTCGTTCTTTTAATTATCCAAAAAATGCGATCAACAGAACCGACAACGACAACCACATTGACATCCTTCTTCTTCTTCTTCTGCCTTATGCTTTGACACAACGTTATGTTTTAGGATAGAATTGTATGGTTTGCGAGAGAATGTGTCACGGACAATATAGATTGCTCATGTAAAGTAAATTACATTCATTGCTTTATTATTTACATCAATTGATGTCAGTGCAAGGGTACATATATGTATGTTTGTGACTATTTATCTATAAACTTCAATTAATTATCGGAAATATCTATTTGTGTTGTAATATTTGTTAAAGTAATACCGAACTCTTTTGTTCTAAATACTAAAAACTATATCAGTTTTTCTATTTAAACATTGAGGAGAGAGAAAGAGAGGGGGAAAAATCATTAGATATCGAGTGTTTGCAATTGTTAACAATGTAAAAATAAAATACATACATACAGACCTAGTGATGATAAGTTGAGATAGATTAGTTGATTATTTACAGTGTCAAAGCAATTATCATTTCTTCTCTTCTTTGCCCTTTCTTCGCATTAGCCTTTTTTTGTGTTTAAGAATACACATTTTATCAGTAAGATAAATAAAAAAAATTACATTTATTTTTCAATAAACTATTTACAATTCTTTCTCTTTTACCAATGTGCTTGATTTAACAGCTGGAATAAGTAGAATACCATTACTATACTGTTGACTACTAAAGACTGATAAGACAAAGAAGTATAGAATGAGAAAGAAACAGAGCGTTGATAATGATCGATTGTTCGATATATGATAGTTATTTATTGTTTGTATATACCATTGATTTAGGTTTTCTTTTCCTCAATTTTCTCTTGTTAATCGATCACATCACTTGGTTTTTAGGTTTCTATTCATGATCGATGGAATAAGTTTTTCTTTTTCTATCGTTCTTTCTTAGTTTTAACCACACAAAATAGAAAGAGGATCAAAAGTCATTCAATAAAGAAGAGAAAAACCTCGCTCTCCTTCTTTCGTTATTGAATATTATGAGTTGCACGATTGAGAACGAGACTCCATTTCCTCCATTTTCCGAGCAGGGCGCTTGCACGTTTATGAATCGTAGAAATAACGTATGCGTGTTGATGCATGCAATGGCTTTTTATTCTCGTTTCATTGTCTTTTTCTTTTTTTTTTTTCTTTTGGTTTTGTTGCCACTGATTATAGCGGTTGTTCTCTATTGTTTATCTTGAATAAGGTAAAAATTGACTACTTGCACGTAATTAACGTAGACAAAAATCAACAACTTATTCTTATCTTAGAAAAAAAAAAGGAAATGCCCTTAAAAATATATAAAAATGACTATTACACACATATATATATATGATAGGGATCATAATGTAATACAAGCATGATGTACTTTACAAGTAAATTCATTTATTGGTAATAAAGAATACATTACAAAAGTACTAGAAAGTAAGACGATTTAATACAAGCGTCTAAAATTTTTCTATACGATAATACATATACATAATGCCTTGATGTATATTGTCCCTTTTCTTTTTTTTATTTATTCTTTCCTCTTATGTACATGTACACCCGTATTTCATTCATGCATCAGTAATTCTTGACGGACGTGTTATAAAAAAACATTTTCCGCTTCTCTTTCGTCTCCTTTTCTTATTACGTTACTAGTTGATCTACACAGTTTTTCTTCTACTCTTGTGGTTTTCGTTTTTTTTTCTCCTCTTTATAATGTTTCTAATATATCCACTAATAAGAACCGGAGGCGGATTAACTCTATAATGAGCATGAGTGTAGAAAATAGCAGTAGGTCAGCTGGCTGAACGTCTTTGCCGTTCTTTTCTATTCCTTCTTTTTTTTCTTTTCTCTTTCCTTTATTATATCATTTACTACTGTTCGAGCTGTGATGGTAATAGTGGTAACGTAAGTAATAGAAGAAAACTGAGGAAACCAATCGTTCGATGATGCGCATACGCATGCATCTTTCTGCTTGTCCAAACCCTCTGTTCGTGATAATGATCAATTTAGCAAAGAAAAGAAATTAGAAAAAGAAAGAAATTGTTGTTTTGTAAGAAGAAGACGACGACGACGACGACGACGACGACGAGTAAAATGTATGTTATTACCTCAATATTTTGATGATAACACAGAGTTCTGTTTTCTATTTAGAAAATAATTCTAAAAAAAACAGAATTAATATACAATTCATATTTGTATTATTATGATCATTATAAGAAACAAACAACTTTATGATTTATATCCGATGATTGACAGTAAAAGGTCTTCGTATATTCTAAATTTTTTTTTCTTTTATGTCTTTTTTCCATGACAATTAACTAGGGAATTCTCTATCAGGCTCAGTCCGTTATATAATGACGTCATTTGTCGGTTTTCTCTCTCGTTCTCTCGTTCGACTGGTTGCGGCAGCAAGAGCTAGATATTATTTCTTCTCCAATCTTTTTTTCTCTTTCGCTCTCTTTTTCTCTGTCTCTTTTCTCGTTTTTTTCCTTTTTTTCTCCCTCTGTGTGTGTTATTATTTATGTATGTTCGTGTGCGCGCGACCGATTGCAGTAACACTACTACTGCAATCATCACCCAGAGTCAACGATGAATATGAAGAAGAAGAAGAAGAAAAAAAACCGTTGTTTTGTTTTTTAAATATACATATACAGAGCTGATTAATAATATTCTACAAAGGTTAACACATGATTTCATTGATTTTCTTCATTTTAGAATATTTGTCTATTTTATCCTATTAAATACTATTTTATAAGACAAATATTTCTAGATCTCGATCGTTATTTAGGGTCGAGTTATAACCTTATTAACATTACAAATAAAGATTCAATTTTGTCTCAATGAACTATGGTAAATAATACAAAGGAGAAAAAAAATTGAAGATAACTAGATACAGTTAATTTTCTTTCCTTCTAGACTGACGACAGATCAAAAGCAGCAAAAAAAGCTGACGACCTTGATGATCTCAAACGTGAAAGCGATATTGTAAGATTTATTAATTTATTGTAGCAATTAATAAGATTTTCTTAATTATTATTATTTAGGATGATCATAAAATACCTGCAGAAGCACTCTATCAAAGATATGGAACTCATCCAGAAAAAGTATTTATATATTAAATTAATTATTCATTTTAAATAATTAAGAATATTTCTTAGGGTTTAACAGATGCAAAAGCTGCTGAAGTATTTGCACGAGATGGTCCGAATGCTTTATCACCACCTAAAACAACACCTGAATGGGTTAAATTTTGTCGACAAATGTTTGGCGGTTTTGCTATGTTATTATGGCTCGGTGCCGTACTATGTTTTGTTGCACATGGTATTAGTGTAGCAACATATGAAGAAGCAGCTAATGACAATGTAAGTATAGAAATAAAGATTTGAATAGTTTTTTACTAAAATTATTCTTATAGCTTTGGCTTGGTATTGCGTTAACAGTTGTCGTTTTTGTTACTGGTTGCTTTTCTTATTTTCAAGAAGCAAAAAGTTCAAGAATTATGGAATCTTTCAAAAACATGTAAGTTTCATTTTCAAGCTCGTATATATTCACTAAAATTCTAATCAATATGAACAGTTATAAAATATATAATCAGATAATATAGTATTATTACTACAAAAATACATATTCGTATGATATCTTCTGAATGGTTTTGACAGTACCTTACCATTAAAAAGGTTAAGAAGTATTATAGTTGTCTTCGTCTAATTTTAGATGTCATTTCTATATGTTTATACAAAATATATATATATTTTATGACATTCATAAGGTTTAACTCAAAATTTTTGGAAAGTTATATTATAATAGTAACGAGATTATAGGTCAAAATAAGATGTATTAACGCTCTGTTCTCAAGCACAGTTTGACTGACAGCTCAATTTAGAATCGTTATGAATGAGATGAGAATAATATGTAAACAAATAATTCCTGAAAAGGCGAAAACAACAATAACCTTTACTAATTTCGTATAATTATTATAGATATAGATAGAATATATAAATAAATT